ATGGATGGATGGATGGATGGATGGATGGATGGATGGATGGATGGATGATTGTGCATGAACTTTGGTGTTTTGAACCTCTTTGGCATGACTGTCTCAGAAGAGTTGATGGGGGAGAGTGTGGTCCCCAGAGGTCATCTTAGCACCAGCAAACTGTTGTTTTTTTTCTACTATGGAGTATGCTGTTTGTGAGACTCAGTTTGTTTGGTGTCTCCTCAGATCTGAAGAAGTTCTTTGGATGAAGAGCGAAACATCCAGGCAAAAAATAAAGAAAGAAAGAACGAAACCATCCAGATGACCTGACTGAACATTGTTGGATTTTTCCAACAGCAACTTCAGCCTAAGTTCTAGTTTGTAACAAACTGGAAGAGAGAATCTGATGACTATAAAACTTATATTAACTTATATCATACTTTTCAATTTTAACTAGAATGGACTCATCAATAATTGGATTCAAACTTCTAACAGACATTAATAATAAATGACACAGGATGTAATGTATATACTGTATTTTTCAGCCTATAAGTCGCTGTTTTTTGCATAATTTACATGCCCTGCAATTTATATGCCAAAGCAACGTATTTATGGATTTTTTCCATATTTATAAACCAATTTTTAGCTGAGATATGACTGTTTTCATTCATTCTGACTGAAAAAAAAAAATTGAACAGTACCAAAGTCCATGCTCAATAATCCAGGTATACAATCCAACATTTTTCAGTCAGGTCATCTGGACAGTTTCTTTTTTTGTGCTGAAACGTTTCGCCTTCGATCCAGAAAGCTTCATCAGTCAAGGAAACACACAACACAAAACTGATTCTTCCCCCAACAGCTTACTCCAAAGTGGAACAAACCAGTTCTGCTTGTGATAAGATGGTGTCTTTGGTACGCCCCCTCGCGTACCAAAGAGACCATCTATTTTTGAAATTCAACTGATCTGACCATTAAAGTGCATTTTTTAAGGACTAGTTCATCTGAGACACATCTTTGCTATATTTTTGCGCAAACAAAAATTGTTTTTAAGTGTTTATCTTGTTAAATTTGCACAATGACTCGTCACGTGCACACTTTTACTTCCTCATATCGGCTTTTGAAATGCAGCTGATTTGACCGTCAAAGTACATTTATTTAGCAAACGTTAGCATGAGACACACCTTTACTATAATTTCGAGCAAACAAATAATTGTTTTTAAGTGCTAATCTTGTTAAATTCTTGTCAAAGTCCTCCCATGCACGCTCCCACGGCCGCCATTTGGCAGCCCATTGATTTTTGCCACAACACCGGACCACGTTTCCAGGTTGTCAGCGATGAAATTACCAGTCCCAAAAAGCTCTACAGTGACTGGTCTGAATGACTATCGGCCAGTGGCCCTCACCCTGATAGTTGCTAAATGCTTCGAAAAACTGGTCATGACTCACATCAAAACAACCATCAACATCAACGAGGACCCTCATCAGTATGCATACTGTGAGAACCGATCAACAGAGGATGCCATCTCCTCTGTGGTCCACACTGCGCTCAACCACCTGGAGCAGAAAAACTCTTACGTCCGTATGCTCTTTGTGGACTTCACATCCGCCTTCAACACCATGATCCCCCAAACCCTGATGGACAAACTATTCACACTAGGACTAAGCCCCTCCATCTGCAACTGGGTACTAGACTTCTTAACAAACAGACCACAGTCAGTGAGGATCCACAACTTCTCCTCCTCCACCATAACCTTCAGCACTGGCTCTCCTCAGGGATGTGTGTTGAGCCCCCTTCTGTTTACTCTGCTCATATATGATTGTGCAGCTACCCATCCAGGCTGTCACATTGTAAAGTTTGCAGATGATACAGCGGTGGTGGGATGCATCACAAACAATGATGAGTCCAGCTACAGGCAAGAGGTGGAACACCTGGAGAGCTGGTGCAAAGAGAATAACCTTCACATCAATGTGAAGAAGACAAAGGAGATGATTGTGGACTTCAGAAGGAGCAAAAACACCTACACCCCACTGAACATAAGAGGATCTGTGGTAGAAGTGGTCTCCAGCTACAAGTACTTGGGTGTACACATGAATGACAACCTCAGCTGGAGCAACAACACCACCAGCCTGATCAAGAAAGCTCATCAGAGACTCTACTTCCTCAGACGGCTGAGGCGAGCTGGTCTGGGAAGCTCAGTCCTCACCTCCTTCTACAGGTGTGCAGTGGAGAGCATCCTGTGCTCCAGCATCAACGTGTGGCATGGAGGCTGCACAGCTGCAGAAAGAAAAGCTTTGCAGAGAGTGGTGAAGGCTGCACAGAAGATGTTGGAGTCAGCCTCCCCATCATCACAAACATCTACACCTCCAGATGAAAGAAGAGGACCACCTGCATCATGATGGACCCCACTCACCCAGCACGCACACTTTTTGCCCCGCTCCCCTCGGGAAAGAGGTTGAGGAGCATTAAGTGTAGAACCACTAGACTGAGGAACAGCTTCTACCCTGAGGCTGTTAGACTCATGAATCTCTAACCAGAATAATCACTGTGAAAAAAAATCACATCATGTTGCTGCTGATCTGTTTCAATGTTGCTGCTGATCTGATTCAATGTTGCTGCTGATCTGATTCAATGTTGATGTGTTTATGCGTGCTCATCTGCTCACATGGACTCGTGTTCAGGTTTGTGCTGATGTTCGATGTTATGAGTGCTTAGTGTATATTTAGTTGATGTTTTTCTTAGTTCATATCTTAGATGTTATTACTGTTTTTCTTTTACATTTGATTGTTGGATGTAACTGGGACCCTGTGTACATAATTTCACTCCACCACTTTTACCACATGAGGTGCGAATGACAATAAAGAATCTCTGACTCTGACTGATTGTTAAGTGCTTTGATAACATTTTCTGTTTTAACAGGCTCCATAAATAAAGTTGACTTGACTTATATACACAAACTAATTTACTAAAATTATCATTTTTTAGACTTTTTGTTCCTCTATATGTTGATACATTATTTATCAGAGCACACACATTTATGATAAGCAGCAATAATCCAAAATCATTGATTTAATTAAAGTTATTGTATTTTAACATTGCTTTTATGAATAGTACTTTACATTATCCATTATAAACACATCTCTGACTGTGCAGTGACAAATTGCGAGTCTTTAAAGTAGAATTTTATCCTCATTTAAAATGTTTCCGGTACTCAGGTTTGTTAATGATGCTGCATCAGAACATAAGACAAGGTTTGTATAAGAAATCTTATAAGACGTTACCTTCAGCTGAATCCAGCAGCGAGACGACAAGTAGTAGAACCATTACCGCCATCGTTGTGTTCACTGTCACATCAGGAAGTATGATTATTTGCTCACATGTATTTCCGTGTGTCAGAAGAGAGCAACTCCTTCCCTTCAGTGGGTCTGGGTGGCGTAAAACAAAAAACCTGCTGTTCTTTCAATTAAACGTTGACAATTTAAACAGTTCTCTCTATGCATAATTACATTTATCTTAGCATTTACAAAAATGCAAAGCTTGTGTATAAACTCCTGTAACTGTTAATGAATGTGAGTTAGAGACAAATGACCTCCTCTGAGCTCTCTGGTGTAAAATGAGAACGCCCCAATAGCACGTAAAATAAAATAAATTAAATGACTCAAAGTATTCTCCACTCTTTATTACAGTCATATTTACATCATGTAAACCATCAAGGTCCCATCTTTACATTCTTTTGTCTTTCAGTCAGTTCCACGCTTCAAGATACAGCTAAACAGAAAAATAAGGACTTTGATGAAATGTTCACAGTGTTAGTAACTTAAAAATCACTTGAACAAACTTCTGCTTCTGTAAAACAACAGTTCCTCTAGTTCCTCTAGTGTTTAACAGTCTGTCATTAGATGGTCATTTACATCTAAGGTGCTTGTATAAATGTAAAAAATGTTTCGATAGTTTGTTTAAAGCCACTGAGATTTTAAAACAACAACTTTAGGGTGAACTCGTCTCCAGTAAATGTTGATTTTACGTCACTGCATTATGTGATGGCAAAAATACTTCACTCTTGTAACATTTTATACATTGTCAGCTAGCGTTCTGAAGGTGCATATATATATATATATATATATATATATATATATATACACATTATGTGCCTAAAGTAGAGCTGTCATTTCTAATCCGGGCCCAAAGCCTGGCCCGGCCCGACCCAAATTTGGGCCGGGCTGAGCCATAATAATGTGCTGGATGGGTGGGCAGGGTTGGTGTCGAGCTTTTGATTACATGAGAGGACGCGAGCAGCTGACAATCCAATTATATGGCAACATGGCTTGCCATACATTCACCAGCTGCACACAACCATTTGACCGTGAGCTGACCGGCCTTGAAAGAGGTCAAATAAAGTTCAGTTAAGTTTCAGATGGGACTGCCGGTACTGTCAGGAAGCGATCCATCGCCCAAATGGACATTCAGCCTACACTCAGCGCACGGCCGATGACCCAAACAGGTGCGATCCCAAAGCAGACATGTCAGAACATGGTCCATGTCTGAATAATGCAGAATGCAGGCAGAAGCAGGGGCACTTTGACGGCCATGAAAGGACAAACACCCCACAGCTCTGATCTTCTGCCCCCTTTATTTAGCCGCATGTCCGCCGACCATTAATAACTATATAATCAGTCAAAGCTTAATTTAAAATGTCGAGGACCTGTAATTACTGTTAATTCGTCGGGTCGGGTGGGGTTTGGAAATGATGGCTACGGGCTGGGGTCGAGTCGTGTCAGATTTTTTGGGCCCGAATGCAACTCTAGCCTAAAGCGCTAAGATATATGTACAGTATATAAAACAGCAACAGCTGTTTATGAATTACAACATTCAGTACACGGATCTGAAATTCTGTCTCCACACAGTTAAGGTGCAGTTTTATTTTTGGCAGAATTTCCATGTAGTCTACCTCAAAGGAAACATGAAAATATATAACTTTAAGAGGAAGTTAGGTTTTTGAACTTGCTCTTGTTGGGGGTTTTTTACTATAAAAGGCAGAACTCGGCATCATCTGACTCGTGTGTTTAAAAAAAAGGGTGTTTCTGTTTGGGTTAAAGTTTCCTGTTGGGGACTATTGACGTTATTTTAATGTTTGAAATGTCACATTTGAATAAACATCAAGGGAGGGATAAAATGATCTTTCCTTGAAACAAGTGGGTGTTCACACACGCCTTGTCTCACTTCTAGTTTACTGCCATTGAAATTTTAAAGAAATTAAACACACTCAGACCGTCTCATTTCCTTTCAATGTGAGAGTCGCCTCGCTGGGAAGCACCCAAAGAAACTCAGCATTTTTGTTTCTTTTAAAGTCTCGTCGATGGTTATTTCTACTTGCGGTGGATCTGAGCACAGTCAAACTTGAGCAGCGGGTTCTGTTAGGTCATGTGTTAGAACAACGTGGTTACAGTCAAATCTGTAAAAAAACAAAAACCATGCATTGTCCTGCAAACAGAAGTCTGTTGAGCTTTAAAACCGTTTGAACGGTTTAAAGTCTGCTTGTGATGTTTCTCTGATCTTCTGCAGATTTACAGTCCCCCGCGACGTTTTCTGTTTTCGCTCCCGTTTGATCACACGTTGCTGATGCGAACGCTGATCGGACCTTCTCTAACTCGGCCGCGGTCCTCCCTGTAACTCTGCTCCAGACGAATCTTCTCTGGGTCCAGCGCCTCGGACACAGGCCCGCCTCCATTGCTCTGGTACCCGTGCAGGGGGCTGGATGGTTTAAAGATGGGGGTGGTCTTGGTCTTGGCCACTTTGTCAAAGAAGGCAAAGTCTGCTACATATTTGCCCGACTGGGAGAGAGAAACGACGGGAGGAAACTCGTAACCCCAGAGGATCTCGTCCGGCAGGTAGGAGGTTCGGACCTGGCAGGTGGCGGAGGTCGGCTCCACTGTGGCGCTCAGGATCACCAGCAGCTCGAAATCAGCCAGTTCTGGGTCTGTCCATCCACCACCTGATGGAGGATAGTTGGGTTTAAAAAGTAATAGTCTTGAAGACGTCACACAAGTTATTCTTGGGGTAACACAATGTTTGAAGCTGCTGCTTTGGAGCACGTTTTATCAACATAACTTGTTTTTATCCGTCTACAAAGAATCAAATGACTCAATTGTTTTCTCTTGAATTCTTCTCAGATAAAGAAAAATCACGCACGGTGGGATTCCTAGTCTTCTGCTATAACCACCTTCCCCTCACAGCTGACAATCATCTAATCTACTACACCTGCAGTGATTGGATTGGGGTCAGGTGTGCACAGGAGCAGAAACGCAAGGATGAGAGAAACACTGGGAGGTGCAGACGGAGAATCGTCTCATCAACCTGTGGAAGTGTCGAGAAATGGAAAATTGAACAGCTTGACTTCATAAGGGAGAAGTTCATCTTGGTTTGCATCACCTCAAATTAGCAATTTTCAAAAGAGGAAACTTTTTTTAGTCCTCTTCTTCTGAATCCGTTACTCAACGTATGCATTTTTAGTGATGCACAACAAAGACTTCAACTAATTTTTGTGAGGAAAATTTATTGCTTCGGGGGTTTTTTTTATGTGTACATAATGCCTGCAAAAGGGGAGGATCTTAAGCCTAATGTGAAAAAATATTTTTACTGCTGGTTGCACATCCAAACGTCACAAAGAATTAGAATCTGGTATTAAAGAGACTCGAGGTGGAGATGTGCTTAAAGGATCTTCAAATTGGTAAAGTTAAATGAACTAAACTGGACAGTCATGCGCGGGCTCGACATCAATCAATGGACGGAAAGTACCACATTAAATTGTGGAGCAGAGACATTCATGGTGGGTTTTCCGAATGACAACAACAAAAAGTATATTCAGATTGAACTATTCTTGCAACTCCCTCAGAGATGAGGATTAAAGAGCTTTATGGATGTTTTTGATTTCATTCAGTTGCAAATAAAAAAAAGTCAAAGTGATAAAACAAACAGCTGATGAGTCAAAATCAAGTAATTCTATTTTCAATGGTTGGACCATTGAACTTTGGGACTTTAGGATGTGTTTCAGTTTTTAGTTTGTGTTTTAGAGACTAATGTTTGGTGTCTTTTAGTGCCTGGGTAAAATTATACCATTTACAAGTTCAGCTGTGTGTTTTGGATGAGTGTTGAAATGTGTTCAGGAAACAAAAGAGGAAGTTTTTCTATTTTTTTTCGATTCGACTCACAAGCCTGTGACTGTTGGAGACACAAAGTTGTGAGAAAACATGAATTTTCTCTTGGAATCACAGTGAATGAAATGTTTGCACAGACTGCCACCAAAATTTGTTGCAAGTCTGTGCACAAATTTGCTTAAAATATATACGAGTGCTCACAGAAACAAAACAGAGAAGGGTTTGAGACGTGTTCTGGATCTGCCCACAGCAGCTCTGCAATTATTTTGAAAGGAATTGTCTTTTGCAGATTATTTGAAGATTATCAAAGTTCCAGCGACACAAGAGTAAATCCCTGCAACTCATATGAGAAAACGGAGAACACTTGCAAACATTTTGAGACATTTTGGAAACTCTTTGGCAATTTATTTCCAACAGCCCACTGAGCTACGAGCTTTAAAATTGTCCTGGAGGATTGAGAACACAAACATGTTGGGAAAGTTTCACTAGGAGCTATAAGGAAGCAAAGTCCCTAATTTTGGACTCAGGGAAAACTGTTCCAAATATCTAAACATTTATTTTCTGGGAGCAAAAGAGCACATTGCGTGGCTTGTTAAGAGAATAAAAGAATTAAACTAGAAAGTTCCTGGAGAAACTTTGATTGGGACTGTCACGATGCTGCCAATTGAACGTTTAGATTTGACAGTACTATGTGTTGGGGTTCGCTCTCAGCTACCATTATACCAAATTTCAGCTCAATATGACAAAAAAAAAATCAATGAGTTATCATTTTTTGCATTTATCTAAGGTGGCCTTCTTGGACTTTTGATTTTATTATTATTAACCTTTATTTAACCAGGCAAATCCCACTGAGATCACAAATGTCTTTTGCAAGGGAGGCCTGGGTGTGACATGCATGTTTTTTGTCTGTGGGAGGAAACCGGAGTACCCGGAGAAAATCCACGCAAGCACAAGAAAAACATGCAAACTCCACACAGAAATACCCCAGGTCCAACTGGGGATTGAACCCAGAATCTTCTTGCTGTGAGGCAACAGTGCTAACTTCAGTATGTGATGGGGAGCATTCTCAGCTATAACCTCACTAAATTTCCGCTCTATATGTGTAAAACTAGCTGAGGTAAAGCCATTTAAATGTAGCCTAGCGTGACGAGTGTTCCGTCAGGCCTTTTGTATGGTGAAAAATGGTGCATTTGTTTGCAAATTACGTCGCCATTGTAACTCAAAGTGGCAATTAAAGTAATGGCACACATCACGGTGCCGAACCGGTCGTTTTGATATAACATTTGTTGGGGTACGCGTTGCAGTTTGGGCTGCATTAAAGTTGACGGAAGAGTAAGATAAAGTTAAGAAACCGCTTGTTAGGTGGATAATAATAGGAGCTGCCTAGGCAGTCCCCAATTACAAATACTGTGGGTAATTAGTCATATTTAGTTATAAATGCCAAATAAAATGAATACACAACAAGAAATAAAGTGGGCAAGTATGTTTGTTTTTTTCTATTGACATCCCTCTGACGTCTACTACTTGAATTCTGAATCCAGCGCCCATGACCGTTACTTTGTCAGTTTTGTGGACCTGTCATGTTCCTCTATAAGTTTTGGTTACAAAACGGATAACACAGCGTTCCCAGAATCAGTTGCATCATTGGTTACCACAAGAGTTTTTTAGAAACCCTCAAATGTTTCAGTGAACTTAGTGTGAAACAGAACTCACAAGTTTCCTCTTTCTGGACCAAACTTACCCTTGGCTGCCCAAGCTCTCAGTGGGCTGTTGTCATCGATGATGTGGTAAAAAGTGAGGGGCAGGATGAGGAAGGGGCTGTCGCTGGAGGTGTCCACTTGAAAGGGCACGTTTCTCTGATCCAGACGAACGGTTTCTCCTTCCTTCGTCATAGAGGTTTGAAGTAGTTTTCCTGTCACCTGAGGAAGAAGGGTGTTTACAAGTTGTCAGAACTGAACTGGCTCATTGAAGCACTGCTGCAAACTGTTCTCAGTCATAAAAGCTGAAATTCTGTCCTTTTGCAAAACTCCTCAGTGTTTCTGTTGCATAAACTACAGCAACAGATCTGTGTTGCAGAGCGCTGAAACCGTTGCTTCGCTCTTTAACTTGAGTCTAGCCTCCAGAGTCATCCCCAGCACCTGGAGATCAGCTTCGGTACGCCTACTTTCAAAAGGTGGAGAGCTCTACACATTTATTATATGATTGTTTTCCAATTTCCATGCTTTTTATTCTAAATGTTAATAGAATTAAAAGGTATTATTCTACACCTTGGAAGAGTGTCTACATTTCTATCTCCGTTAATGCGGCCCAAACCACAGCGTCTACCCCCACAAAAGTTATATGAAAACGACCGGCTCGGCCCGTGATGTGTGCTATTACTTTGTACTTTTATTGGCATTTCGAGTTACCATGGCAAAGTACTTTGCAAACAAAGACGCAATATTTCATCAACTCCAATAACTAGTTGGTGACTGCCCACTTATTATGCTACACCTAAAAAGCGTATCTTTTTCAACTTTAATGCGGCCCAAACCGCAACGTGGACTCCCACAAAAGTTATATCAAAACGATCGGCCTGGCTCCGGGAAGTGTGCAATTACTTTTATTGGCATTCGCAGTTACCATGGCGACATATTTTGTTAACAAAGGTGCCAAATTTACCATAGGAAATGAATAGGAGGAAACTCTTCACAGAAACCAAGTAACGTATGGAGCCATTTTGGTTCAACATGCAAGGAAAGCAGTGCATTGTGCAATGCATGGAAGGCAACTATTATTATTATTATTAATTAGTAATATTAATCATAAGTATTAATAATACATATTAATTATAAATATTAATGTTAATAATTATCTGTTTTAATATCAATAATTATTAATATTAATAATTGATATTTAAAATTAATACTAATTACTGGTGTGAATATTATTAATATTGATTGTTGATTATTAATATTTTAGTGATTCATGAATTAACAATATATAAATAATTAATAATATTAATAATCAGTGTTTATTATTAATATTTATAATCGTTAATATTTATATTTATTATTAATAATATTTAATTGTAAATAGGCAGTCCCCGTCAAAGTTTCTCCAGGAAATTTCTAGTTTACAAAACAAAACTGTTCCTTAAAGTCAAGATATTTTTTAAGAATTTCAATAAGGCTTTAGATCAGGCCTGATTATAGCAACAATGTTGGTTGAAAGGTGCATTATTTAATCATCTTTTCTACTTGTTTGATCCTTTAGGGTTGTAGGGAGCCTATCAGGGGTCAGTGGTCAAGAGGCCGGGTACACCCTGGACATGTTGGTCACCGTAACAGAGACACACACTCACACCTAGGGCTGGATTAGAGTCTATAGCATTTATGTTTTCGGTCTGTTGGAGAAAATATCAAAAAGACGTCTACATGAACAGAGAGGCAATGTTCCAGCTTCGTTTTAAAGCCGGGACTTTCTTGCCCTAACCGGCTGTGCAACACTGTGCAGCTTGAATCAATACGTTTTCAGCCAGTGGTGGTCCGACAAGCAAGTGTGTCACGTTGTCGTCGTTGTGCCTCTTTGCACCACATGTGTTTACCTGGCACCCAAGCAGAAGACTCTTGCGCATGTTGGCCACACAGATCATCAGGCAGGGTTGACCCTCGTAGGTGGAAACAACAGCGTGCTGACTGAACCTCACCGTCTCGCTTCGTTTCTTTGGCCGCGCAACCTGGTGAGAAGAAACTCGAGGCATCTTGGTTTCTGACAGCCTTTTCTAGATTACATTCACTGTTCACTACTTCAGAAAGGAAAAGGTGAACTACATAGGAACCTGCTATAAAGTTGCACTCACTGAAATGCAACATTTCTTCATTCTTTTATCTCTCAATGCAAGTTCTTTATTTTTGGTTGGTGCTTTAAGTTTTGAGTACCTTGGCCAGAAAGGTCCCAGTGATGAAGATTTCCATGAGCATGGTGATGACCAGCTGGAGGATGAGGAGGATTATGGCAGCTGGGCATTCCTCAGTGATGCAGCGGAAACCATAACCAATGGTTGTCTGGGACTCCAGAGAGAAGAGGAAGGCCGCTGTGAGGGTCTGCACCTGCATCACACACGGCGTGTGGTTGGATGGAGGGTCGAACTCTGGTGGAGCATGGCGAAGAAAACAAAAACACGTTTATATCGTTGTCAAATATGCCATCTATAGCAAAATAGAACTTTCTTGGTGTTCTTATTTATAAATTTTACTGTAGGATGTTTGACATTACGATTTATTGAGCGCTAAAAACATGATTCATTTCTGAGGAGGAGCAGGTGGTTTTTTTTTTTTTTATATGAAATGTTTCCTTTTATGTCTATTTTTTTTTTTTCATGCTGACGTTCAGTTTCAGTAAATGCACTAAACACCATCAACTTTGCTTCCATATTACTGATCATCAGATAACGTGTCTGCGGTCACAGATGTAGAGCAACAAAGGCAAACACTTTCTCATTCGTGTTTTTACTTTTTCTGTTTTCACCAAACTTCATGGACTCAACATTTTTATGAAGCACCTCACCAGCTTGAACTCAGAAGTGCTTTAAACTTGTAAAATTCATAAAATAGATACGGACAAGTCAAACTGTAGATTATCAAGCACACGTTCTGCATATTTTCAGCTTGCATCCTCCCTTTCATCGCACCTTCCTTCGTTTTTAACAGCCTCGCCTACAGTGCGTGTTTCTTTTCACGCCACTTCAACCGTCTGCCTTTTTTGCTGCAAAAAAAAAGGGGTTTGATTTGGTTCACGCACTTTATTCTTGCTCATTTGCAAGCTCGCTACAAACAGGAAATACGCTCTGATACCTTAAAACCTGCAGAACACACTTTTAAAACTTGGGCGTGTGTGAGTGTTCATGACCAAACGGGCCAAAATAGACTTTCTAAAACCTACTGTCATTTCAGTTTGAGTAAACGTGAGCACGTTGTGGAGAATGGTCGGTAACACTTTATAATAAGGTACACAAAATTTGATTAACTAATAGGGAACGTCTCAGGAATGAATCAGGAGCTAATGAGTAGTTAACCAGTACTTACTGGGGAACACACAGCCAAGCCTTATTGTGGGACTATTGGTTAGTTACCTTGTAAATAAAAACGTGGGAGCATGCACGGGAGGACTTTAACAAAAATTTAACAAGATTAACACTTAAAAACAATTATTTGTTTGCTCAAAATTATAGTAAAGATGTGTCTCAGTTGAACTTTTACTTGATAAATGCACTTCAATGGTCAAATCAGCTTCGTTTCGCCCGGGCGGCGCAGCCAAATGAAGCTGATATGACGGTTGCTCCAGGCGAGAAGGACGAAGGTGGCAGTCTATGGCAAGCCAATTGTGTTATTAATCACCACTTTTACCTATTACATGACACAACGGCATGCCATATAAATAGAGTGCCATCTAGCGGCTGAAAATGGTAGTGTTCAATATTTTCCATGTCGGAATGAATGAAAACGGTCATATCTCAACCAATAATTGATTTATAAATATGGGAAAAATCCATAAACATGTCGCTTCGGCGTATAAGTTGCAGGACATGCAAATTATGCAAAAAAAAAAGTGACTTATAGGCCAAAAATTATGGTAGTTGTAAAATCTTACACAAGACCCCTCAGAGCTATCTAAAGCCTGAGATTTATGCTCTCTTAAGATATTTTTTATTAAACCTTTGTTTAACCAAAAAATTCAAACTTAGAATATGAAGAAAATGTCTTGGCCAATACAGTTTAACTATTTTATTTCCATAGCAAATAATCTACAGGTTGATATTTATTTATTATGGAGTCATTAAATAATATTCTAAGTTCCTTATAGGAGGGTTTTTATAGAAGTCCTGCGTGTCTGAAGACATCTGGTTGGAAAAGTAATTCAAAAGTCTTGCACACTAATTAAAAATGTGCATTTATACCCACAAGCAGTTGAATTATACCAGTTTCTGCATCGCTGCAAGGCCGACTAGCTGTCAAACGTTAGCTTTAGTCTTTTCTTTCATTTGTAGATCTCGTTTCGCTCGCGTAGTTTTAAAGTCGACGTTCACAGTTTTGCTTTGAGTCACATTCTGCTGTTGTCTCAACAAAACCTGAATCAGTTGACGGGTATGACTGGGTGTGTTGGAAGTTCTGGTTCTGGGAGGTTCTTTCAAGGTTTTGACTACAATACGACTAAACTAGGATGTTAGAATATTTTATGTTCACATTTTAAAACAATAGAGTTAAATTTTTCTAAAAATTCTCCTCAATGCTTTGGGGGAAACCTTGACCTTGATGTGACAAATGGAGGCTTTTTGAAGTGGGACATGTGGATCTTGTGGACTGAACGTGAGAGAGTGGGACGGTACGTTATACTCTAACTTTCGACCACCTTTTTAAAACTCTGGTTCTCTCACCCAGTAGGTCTCCGTGAACCAGAGCAACCAGGTACCACACCACCCCAAAGAGGAACCAGGTTCCTGCGAACGTTGCTGTGAACAGGAAGAACTTGTAGCGCCACGGTATTTCCAGAAAGGTTGTCCAAAGGTCACGCATGTAGAGGGTGCCCCTCCCACTGATGTGCTCGATGCGAACGTTGCTGCGGCCATCTTTGGAGAGGATGCGCCTCCTTTTCCTCAGAGCCCCAGCAGATGTTCCACCGCCCAGTAATGGTTTTAAAACATCTGTCTGAGTCTGGGAGTGGCAAACTTTGTGAGGGGAAGAGCTGCGAGAGCAGGGCGGAGTGGCAGAGGTCATCTGATGAAAAACAACAAAAATAACTCTTCAGCATCTTTAAAAACAGAGACATCAGCAGACACACTCAACATCTGACACAGTCATTCTGTGAAAATTAAAGGAAGCTAATTAGGAAGCAAAGGATTGTGGGGAAAGTGTCTCCCTTGCTGCCACCTGCTCTCACGGTGATTTCATCTGAAACAAACAAAAAAGTCACTTGAATAATTAAATAAGAATACAAATAATTAAAAGCTTATGATTCCTTGAAATAATAATTATTATTAAATTATGTGAGTATTAGTTTGGAAAAATCCCCTAAAGTTTTCTGAACAAGATCTTTTTTCACAAAGGTGCACAATTATTTACTTCAGAATAAGAAAGAATCGTCTCATGGGAAAAAAGCAGCTCTGATTTTTTTTTTATTATATTTATCTGTTGTTACCATCTGTTAGAAAAAAGGAAGAAGATGTGTTTCCTCAGAGATAAACATCTCTGTGTTTCTGGTGACATGGCTACTTATTATAAACATGAGAGTTTAATTAGTGAAAGATGAAACGATGAAACAAACAAAAAAATTAGGTTGGGGGGAAAAGGTGACTGAAATAATTCCAAAGTAATTTTCTCACAGTCTGTTGTTTTATTGAAACTCACTGAAATGTACTGTGTGTGGATTGCAAGAAGCACATGTAAACAAAACAATGCATTTCCAAGTATAGAACCGTGAGGCACCCCACACGTCCAAAATACCAAGACAGAAGAACCATCAAAGTGGTAAAATTAAAATTCATGTAAAACTGTTGTTCAAACAGATAATCAGTAAATAACTTAACATGTGAACAATAAACTGAAACTACATAGTAAATCATAAAAACTTAAAGTAAAAAAAAAAAACATACGGCTAAAGAAAAATCAAAACGTATCACTTAATTCAGTAATTTCAGCGTTGGTTGTACTTTTTGGGTTTGGGGAGTCTTTTTACTGATGTTTGCACATCTTTGCATTCTTATCAAAACTCAGTTATCGTATAAAATACAACTCCAAATCCAAAAACTTTGCGATGTTGAGTAAAATTAAAATAAACACAGAATGCAATGAATTGCAAATTTCAAAAATACATATTTTATTCACAATGGAACAAAGTAAACATATCAATAGCTTCAACCAAGAGTCTGTAAACATTTAGGAACTGAGGAGCCCCTTTGCAGGAGGTTTTGAGGATGAATGTTGTCCCAGTCTCATGTGATTTCTAATTTTAGCTCTTCAACAATCCTGGATCTTCTTTACTGG